AGATCTTCTGTTCCGGAGCTCTCTCAAATGAGTCCTTTCCTCTCCATCTTCCAGTGTTTGAGTATGGACATATCTCTCTTTCTCTCTTGGGATATATTCTTATCGTCTCTTAAGCCAGTGGCAGAGTTCTGGAGTGAAAATTATTCTAGATAAGACTTCCTTGTTATTCTCCAGAATTCTGCATCTTCTTACTTACTAAACTTCACTCAGTGATAATCTGCAATCTGTTTTATATTAGGACACACTCCTTTTACCTTTCCAATAGTTAATGAGCTGAATTTGGTAACTGGATTTTGGCACGTCTTGTGGAAGCAGGTGGGTTCACACACTTTCAATAGGGCCCAGAGCTCTTTGCTACAGCCTGGACCTTCTATGTTCAGTGGCCAAGGGTCACAGGTGGCCCTCCTCGCAAGGGTTCCCAAGGGGAAGGTAGCCTCTGCACCCTATCTCCAAGGGGACAGCAAAGATAACAGTAGGGAGCTACCTTCTCCCATTTCCCTTCCCTATGCCTCTCCCTACCCTTTGCTGTGCGCTGTGGATTGTTAGAGTTGGGAGGGAGCTGCAATCTGGAGCAACCGAAATGCTGCTTATTCAGGGTGTCCATGTAGCACTAGGCTGGAGACTTCTCTTGTCCTAGTTCTCTTAGGCTCCAGTTAGACATTACCATCTTGACAAATTCTCATAAGATTTTGTAAGCAAAGATCTCTGTTTTGGGGTAGTCACTTATAGCTTCAAGGGGATGTGACTTTGGGAAAGGGCCCTGGTACTGAGGACAATTTCCCTGCCTCTGGCCTCACCATCCTTCAACCACATGGGTGGTGGATTAGGTGATTTTCTATCTTGGTTGAAGAAAACCACATCATTTCTCCACTAGCCCTCAAAATAAAGTTCTGGCCCTTGCAGAAGCTCCCTTCCCACCAGCAGCCAGGCAGATACAACCTTTCTCCCCTCTATGATACGTCCCCACCTTGGGGGCACTTCTGTACCTGAAGGAAGCCCAGTGCATTGCAGTTGTTTGTTGCATGCCCACCTCCTCTGACTTCCCAGGGCAAGACCAGCATCTGTCTCATCTTTACATTCCTGGAACTTAGCACATGCTGGCACTCTAATAAATGCCAAGTGGATGAAGACTGATAAGCACTTCAGGCAGCAGGAAAGGAAAAGGGGCTTGAAGGATGCCAAGTCTTCTTAAGCATGCTTCAGGGCTAGGACCAAAGTTGGGTCGGGGCAGAGTTAAAAGCTGGCAGTGGAAAAAAGATATTGTTGATAGGACACTGACTTTCTAAGCATTTTGGACCAGGGCTTGGGAGAGTTGAAAGAAATCGATCATTTGGGTAAATACACCACTGCCCAAGGCAGCTGGGTGGGGGTACCAACAAGACTATAAAATCTTATATTAGCCTCAGAGAGCAGAAACATCTGCTAAAGCCACAGCGGGCAGGCTGGCCAAGTTCAGCAGCAGGTTAGCCAGGACAGCCCTGTGACCAACAGAAAGGGCCACAGAGGGGAAGAATCAATCATTCTGGCAAGGAGGAACAGGAAGGACCAGCAGTGAGATGGGGGCCAGTCACTCACACCCACACGAGGTTCTCCACCATCTGGAGGGGCCACAGGGGCAGACTTCTTCTGCCCCTCTCCGCGAGGGCCTTTGCAGGCTCCCCATCCAGACCTCCTCATGCCCTCGGTGCCCATCAGCCATCTCCGCCACACCTGCAGCCTCACAACTTGGGGAGTTTTTCTCCTTTTCTGTGAGGACTTCAAGGTTTTAACAATAAGGTGCACCCAGCTAGATCCCCACCTACACACTGATACAACTTAAAGGAAATAGACAATTCATTTGCCGGCCAACACCTCTGTTTAAAGAGTTTTCTTTTTCATATCAACACTTCTGTGAATTCGGAATTTGATCAACTTTTTGCTACACAGTTTGACATTAACAAAACATCAACACTCTGACAACCTGCTGGTGTCAGAAAGGAACATCTTAAAACTCTTTGGACTCTACATTAAGACAGGCTTCCAATCCCAATCTTTGATCTCTATTATAAAGCAGTACCAATAAAATAGTGTAGAGATTTATGGGCAAACTTTCACTTGAGCTGTTTCACACCTAAAATAACATGAATGCTTGGGCCAAAAGGCAGAAAATTTAGGTTTAGGTTTCAACTGTTTAGGTTTTCTTTTACTTTTAAAACTTAATTCACTTATTTTCTGAAATTACCTTAAAATTTGCTATTACATTATATTTGTCTCCCAGAGAAGATAGTTGAGAGTCATTACCTGAGTAGATATCATGTCATTCCAAGAAGGACAAGCCTAAGTTTCGGTAGACAGTTGCTCCCTGTTCTCAAGGAACCATCTTTTGACACAAAGCAAGTGTTTTTTTAAAATAAGATTTACATGGACACTATTTAAATTTATCTTTACACCCAAGTATACCCTATTGTTAACAAGAGTAACCGAATAGTTATTACTGTGAGTAAAATCTAAACAAAAAGAATTTCATTTAAAAGCCAGTGAGATGGTATTTGGACCCAAGATGTGTTTCATTGTATATTGCCCTAATCTGTGATAATTTTCCAAATAAAGCTTAAGTTGTAATTCTGGTATCAGTCACTTACTTACAGGTCAGAGTCTGAATGAAAAGAAATCAGTGCCACATTCCCTATAGATAGGAAACCAACCAGAGCCCCCAATCCTCCCCCTACCCCGTGCGAAGAAACTGGGGCAAATGATTGCGCCAAATGAGAAAGCATCAGAGAATCTCAAAAAGGGATGGGGGAAGCAGCTCCTCCAGCTTTTAAGAAGACCTTTATAGGAAAGTAAAGTGAAAACAGCAGAAAAGTTCCTGGACACAGTCCTTTAAGAAACAAAAACCAGTAGGAAGAAAGGTCAGAGCAGCGGTTCAAAGGAATCAGAACGCGCTGCTACTGCTGTCCAAGGTTGCGGGCCGGCAGCACACGGGCCTGCCAAGCTGGAGGCAGTGCTGGGCAGCGGAGACAATGGCCTTTCCTCCACCCAGCTCCCCACTTACAGAACTTAGCAGCAGAGCCCCAACTCTGCAGCCCCAAAGAGAAATTCTAGAACTGTGATGATCACAGAACCAAAGTAAATAGAAAAGGAAACATGCTTAGTTATTTAACTCAATTTTATTTTTTTCATTTTCTGATTTTAAACCGTAATTCCTGGTTAGAAAGGAGAATGAAGCAGCGGGTGCATAGCCTTGGTTGCATGGCCATGGGGGGAGGGGGCAGGGAGGAAGCCTAGCACGCTCATGCTCAGAGATACCCGTGGGGTGTAAGTTTGTGCTGTATCCCCTTAAGCTTCCTCTATCTGCCCACAGCTTGGGCATAGGTGTCATAGACACTGTAAGAGATGGAGTCCAACAAAAGTTCTTAAACATCACATTTAGGCTTCAATCAGCAAGACGCCAGGAAGGGAGATGGTTTGTTTGACACATGCAAAGTTTGGTACAGAAATTCCCCTGCTCAGATGAGGATACAGCTGGCCATTATTATTAAGCGGTCGCTGAAAGTTCTGAGTCTTTTAGGCACCACTATTCTTAGAGGTCACATACTGTCCATGGCAAATTACTTGGAACTAGGTATTGATGATTATGTAGCTTCTGACTCAGAATTTCCAGGCTCTGAATAACTCTGTCCCTCACTCTCCATTCAGTATTCTAATTTCTGGGATGGCAGGAAACACTTAAATGGTGGCTCTGATCACCTATTATAAATGGCAGGCAAAGCTGAACTCCTGAGAAAACCGGCTGTCCAATTCTGGAGCAGGTGGAGTTAGGGTTTTATTCAAATATTATAGGTTGCAGTGATCCAGAGAGTACTGTCATGGGGCAGGGGAGGGGGTGTTAGGTCATCCTAGGGAGAGCCTCCACATATTAAAGGCAGTCATGGCAGATGACAGCTCTAGATTTCATTTGGACAAGAGAGCTCATCTGGGCTAGCTCTCTCCAGAGTGGGAGCACAGGGCACCAGACAGGGTGACTTCCATCATGGGGTTGAAGATATTACTGTCAACTATTGGGCTTAGCTAGATTGGGGGAGCCAAACTTGAGCCACAGGCAACAGGACCTTCAGCCCCTAAAGGACACTGCTGCAATCAAAACCCAGCAGAGTCTCTTCCCTTTTGAGAGGTTAGTTATCAGGATACACAGGTTGGAAACACGAATGAAACACTTAATATCAGAAATCCTAAAAACTTTTGGGATGTCCTGGAGAACTTTTTTTCCTGAACTGCCAATACCTTTGTGGGTATCATGTAGGCACTTTGCTAGAATTGGAGCCCAGGGGATTCTAGAACACGCCCTTCTTGAGGCTGGCATGAAGACTATGGTGTTTTAAGTGGTCGAGGACCATGTGTGAGGTAGGGGAATGCTGGAAGATCTGTATAAGGTTGGGCTACAGAAATGAATGATGATTTACCTGTGTGACAACCTATCTGTTCAGGAGAGATTCTATGCTTTCGTTGCTAGCAGATGCTTGGGCATTCGAAGGCCAAATGGCATTATGGTTTATTAGACCTGGCAGAGGCATGCCTGTAAATCCATCCTCCACATGTCACACGTGCGGCCAGGTATGGTTGGGGTGCATCAACGCACGAAGACAGAGGGTCTGGGGTCTGTGGGAATGTGTTTGCTGAGTCCTGGTTTAGAGCAATAGTTTGAAAACAGGTATTTTCCCTCATTTCTTTCTGAAGCTGTCTGCTTGCTGGAGTTACTTAGGTGGCAGGGCCACTCTGAGACGAAGCCTGAGATGAATACCTGTGTCTTCCCCTGACATCTCTTCAGGAAAACATGCAACAGAGGGCAAGCACTTTTCCAGGGAACCACTGCCCTTGAAAGACCTTATTAGGAGATAAGATATAAGAAAAGATATTCAGACAAAACTAGTGTACCTTATGATTTTCTTTTTCGAGAAAAGGAAAACCAAAATAATAATAATGATAAAGGAAGAAGAGACAAACTAGAGATAGATCTTTACCTTCTGAACCAAATAGACACTTGTGGCTCTCTCAGCAGCCACTCTGTCCAGATCAGATCCCTCGGGAATAAAGTAGCTCACGTCAGCGATGTGAACTCCCACTTCAAAGTTGCCTGTAAATGCACAAGAAGAACATTCATCAGCCTAGTTTCGGGGGCAAGGAATCCCTCCTAGGAATCCTTTCCAAGAATGCATGTCACTCCCAGAGGCCACAACCTTGCAGTATAGGCCGCCACTGCCAGTCCTGCCAGGCTCTCCACCTAACCCCTTGCCTGCACTGCTGCCACTTCCTTACTGTGTACCACAAGATGGTGGGATTTTTATCATGATAAAAATAATAGACAATATTAAACACTTTCACAAGATGTCTCCCATTTCTAAAGGCTCCTTTATCTTTGGATCTGTAGACTTGGAGAAGACATGGCTCATTCTGGATGACAAACAAATCCTTTCAGGTCACCAGGAAGAAGTGAGTTTATGACAAACAAATCCTTTCAGGTTACCAGGAAGAAGTGAGTTATGACGAACAAATCCTTTCAGGTCACCAGGAAGAAGTGTTAAACCCCATCCCCAAATCTTGCAGATGCCGCTCTGAAAACTCCACCTGTCCATCCCTACAGGCCACAAGCCCTTATTTAGCCCACCCTGGCTGCCGCTGTGCTGCGGTATCCTCTTCCCCAGCCTCCCATGCTGCTGCTGTGATCTTTCTAAACATGGATCCTGGTGATGTCACTCCTTGGCCTGTTATTTATGTCCTTATACAATTGCACCCCCAGCAACCTCATTGGCCTTCAGGCCCATCCTTCACATGCACTGTGTGCAGCTGGCTTGGGAAACCTTTCCATTCCTCACCCCACTCAGATGCTTGCTTGGCTCATGCTTTTGGCTCATGCTTTTTCCAATGTTTGGGATAATCTCAATAGTATCTACCTATTGAAAGAGAATTCCCAAACAAGAAGAGACTCTACTGCCCTCTGTTTCCTCCACCTGTGCAGTTAAAGCACCTACTGTCTATCTGATGATGCTTACCACGGTCTTTCTTCAGAGCTCTCATCGCCTGCCAGATGCCACAGCATATTTTATTGGCTTATGTGTTCACTGTTTGCCTCTCTCCCTATAGTGTAAGCTCCTGAAAGTTGGGGCCTTTTGTGTAATGGTTACTGTTGTATGCCTAGTACCTAGAAGAGTGCTTGGCACATAGTAGGTACTCAATAAATACTTGTTGAGTGAACAAATCAACAACTGGCTTGTTTGCCTTTTCCCTCTGGTAAAACACCTACATTTTTTTTTTTTTTCCTTTTAGAACTACCTTTCCCCTTCCTGGTGGAGCTATCTTTCAACAGGCCCTGCCTGTTGACCACATAAGCTGGGAGCTGCCAGGAAACATCTTTGCCATATAACCATGCCAATATACAAAATAATAGGTCTAAGAAAGAAAGGAAGAGTCATGATTACCTCATTTGAACTCTAGGATCCAGCTGAACCTGAAACTAGTCTACCTGTGGACTAGTCCCTTTCCACCATGACTCACTGAAGAGTCTTGACTGATACCCAAGTTGACTCAGAAGAGCTTATTAACACGCTACCATTTGCTCCCTTGGTTACCTGGGTGATCAGCCTAAGGCATCACACATTTTATCTACAAATTTTATAGCTATTTATTATCCTCCTATTCTTTCTTCCCGGGGGGATAATTCTTCCCTCAGTTTTTAAATGTTTCAACATGGGGTGCTTAAAATAAGGGATTCAAGCAGGAAAAGAATTTAAGATTCCTTATTCTTCATCTGGTCTGACACTCAGAGACCACCCTCCTACAGGGTATTCTTTGGGTTTTTCTCCCCAATGCTGTAATATTAATATATTAGGGAACACCTAAGAGATCCCGGCTGCTATGGAGTAACACAACAGATCTGTTTCCCACAGAGGAGAGGGCTGTTTGGAAAGCTGAGAGAAACCAGTATGACTCCAAGTCTAGCTGCCTCATTCTGACAGGCACGCAGCTGTGCCGCTGGGTCACTGGGAGAAGTGAAACCTGCCCTGCGATCGAGGAACTCAATTTTAAGTGAATTCAGCCAAGAGTCTCAGACGGCTCAACTTCCAGTTTTGATATTTCAAGTATCTTAAACCAATACTTGGAGAAGGTAAAATAAAGTGTCTTCTTTTGAAGTCAGCATTATAATATATTGGCCTAACAGGTAAATATTGACTAAAGGAAAAAAGAGAGGATTATGACATCACGCTATAAACCATAATTTAAAATTCAATCTCTGTGTTGTTACTACACATGAACTTTCTGTCCTTAGTCAAAATTGACAAACTGACAAAGAGTTCATTACAGGAGATAAAACATGAAGGAAGCCAATCAAAACATATTGGAGAGGCTTAAATTTCACTCAGAATTCCCAGCAGAGCCTCTAAAACCAGCAAAGAGAAGCACTCTTATTCTCTGGTTTGGACCTTTTTTATGGCAACCCTAAGTAAATATTTTATTACATATATTTACATAATGTGAACTTGCAGAACTCTTGAGGTAGTGGCACTGAAATTTTTATTCTATGAAAGAGAAAATATAAATCCAACAGTTTACATAGCATATGCTGCCAAAATGTTTAGAACAAATTTGTTGTTTTAAAAGATACTGTCTTTCATATATAAGCATTCTTTTAAATTAAAAAAAATTAAACTTTCATCTACTGGGGCTAAAGTGAGTCCTGTGAGTTTTGAAGAGCAGTCTGAGCAGAAAGAGGAAGGATTTCCAAGGTGTAGTTCACTTTGCATAGGGCCCACAAACTTAGATGAACACAAATACTCTTTTGAATGGACTTCAGAAGACATCAAAACTGTTTCATCCCATTAAAACACTAATAGAACCTAAGCTGGGGCCCTAGAAACCATCTCTTTGAAGCCAGCCTCCCAGCAGTACAGTCACTTCCCAGCAGTGTCCCTGCCAGGTGGCCCCTGATATATCCTCAAGGGTGGGGTGCTTGCATCTTCTTGAAGACACTTGCTTTCTTCTGAAGAGCTCTGGTTGTGAGGAAGCACTTCCTTACATGTATAGTACATGGAAACGGAGCCTTTAGTTTATGCCAATGCCGGGCATCCATAAGTGGTGATCCCTCCTTTTAAGGAGCTCTTGGTCTAATGGGGTTGGCAGATATACCCACTTCCATGACTTCTTTTAAAAAAAATATAACAACCTCCTTATTGCTCTTCCTGCCATGTCAAACCCATTTTCCACACTGAAGATAGTGCTGTTTCCAAAACACAAATCTCCCTGTGACCCCAGTGTGGAAACCTCCAGGGCCCCTGAGCATGCAGCCCAGACCTAGTTTCCAAGGCCTCACTGGCCAGGCTCTGGCCCACTGCTCTAGTCCCCTTGTTTTATCTCTTCCCCTCCTCCCTCTGCAGATTATCCTGTCACTACTTCATGATGAGGAGATACCAACCAAACTGTCCATGATGTGGGTCTGCCCTGGGCAGTATGACCCTCCCGGCTCTTACCCCTTAATACCAGTTGCACCCCCAAGTCACTGTGGTGGAACTCCTAGGGCTGCACAGACCTCAGGGGCTCCACACTGTTCCCCTGTGCGGGGTGCCCTTCCCCCGATCCTCTTCCTGGCAACTCCTGCCAGTCCTTCAGACCACCACCTAAAGCCCACTCCCTCTGGCAAGCCTGTCGTGACGACGTAAATCAAGCTCGACACTCCCCCTACTCCTGGCCTTTGCATCTTCCTACAGCTTCTCATTGCTCCCCTCCACCACCCGGGTACCATTTACTGCATGCAGATCATGAGATACCTCCCTACTCTCTACAATCAGCATGAAGTGCAGGGAAAGGGCCTGTGCACAGTCAGTGCCTGAAGTTCACTGAATGAATAAAAAAGTAAGCCTTCATTTTGTCACCTCCCTCATTCTGCATACCATGGTTTTATTAATGCAGTCTATGTTCACACTGAACTGAAAACAAAGAGCCTGAAGAAGACCACAATCTCTTAGGAATAGCACTGATAGGCAAACGAATTAATCATTTAGTGGAATAATGTTTGGTAAACAAAGGTAGATGACAAAAGCAGCACAACCTGCTAGACACCCTGACATGTACAACAGATGTTAGATCTCCTGTCCCTCAAATTGGTTTCCATCCAGCCTATGACAGGAACATGATGCTTTTGCGTTGGTCAATCCTCTTGATCTTGTGGCCAGTTTTCCCAAAAACATGAACCTTAAGGGAAATCGAAAATAGTGTTCTGGAAGCTCAGAAAGGGTAATCCAATCAAGAGGACTGAGATGCCATCTGCCACCCAAATGGTGCCAGCAGTAAGTGACAGGTCTCACTCAGAGCAGCTCATCCAGCCAGGGTTTGAGCCCTGGCCTTAGTTTGGTCCCATCAAATTATAGAGACAGACTGAACAGCTGAAAAACTGTTGGGCTTGGATCACCTTGTAGCCACATGAAAAACTTCACCTTTTAGTTGGGGTAAGCAAATTCCCTGATTTTGGTGGAAACACTGATTGGGTTGCTATGTAAGAGGGACAATTCAAACTTCGATGTCTCCTAATTCTGTGTGGTATTTTGTTACATAATCTCACACAAAAGCTGAACGCCAAGCCAGTATAGCAAGTCATGGCAGTACTCCATGGCCATGACATGGTGATGGTTAGAGCATATTTCATAAACTTAAAAGGAGTCAAAATTAAAAAAAAAATTCCAGGACAAGTAAATCTGAATGCAATGCAAAGAACTTATTATGAGGATGGGATTCTACAGGATGACTTCTTAGGTCCCCCTGAAGGCCAGGATTTGAAGGGTCTGCAGATTTTCTTTTTCTTTTTCTTTTTCTTTATTTAATCTTTGCCCTCCAGCAAAGGGTTAATAAGGCCCTTTAGTTAAAAACTCCTTTACTGGTGAGCTCACCTTCTGGAACTAAGCAGCTTAAAGAACCTTTTCGTTCATTATTACAAAAGGCTCTATCAATCTGCAAGTACTCGACTAAACTGCCTACACAGCAATTTTTGTCATGTTCAATCTAATTCTTAGGAATCTAAGTCTAAATTTATAAGAACAGCATGGAAGAGGAACACCCAGGTAGTAAATTCCACTTTTCCCTTTCCAA